CAAAACTTCTTTCAGACCCCCAAACCCACTCATTTCCTGTCTTGCCCGACCCAAATGTCCTTCCAGACCCCCAAACCCCCTTTTAAACCCCAAATCCCCATTTAAACCCCCAAACTCCCTTCCAGACGCCCAAAACCCCCTTTTAAACCCTCAAACCCCCTTCCAGACCCCCAAACATCCTTTTAAACCCCAAATCCCCATTTAAACCCCCAAACTCCCCTTTTAAACCCCCAAACTCCCTTCCAGCCCCCTCAAACCCACTCTTTTCCTGTCTCCCCCGTGTCCCCAAGTCCTTTGCTCGGATCAAGAAGTGGCTGGAGCACGCCCGGAGCTCCCCCAGCCTGACCATCCTGGCGGGCGGCGGCTGCGACGACAGCGTCGGGTACTTCGTGGAGCCCTGCATCGTGGAGAGCAGGGACCCCCGGGACCCCATCATGAGAGAGGTGTGGGGACCCCTAAATCGTCCCAAAAATCCCTGCTGGAATCCCCAAATCATCCCAAAAATCCCAAATCCCTGCAGAGACCCCATAATGAGAGAGGTGTGGGGATCCCCAAATCATCCCCAAAATCCCTGCTGGGATCCCCACATCATCCCCCAAATCCCTGCAGGGACCCCTGGGACCCCATCATGAGAGAGGTGTGGGGATCCCCAAATCATCCCCAAAATCCCTGCTGGGATCCCCACATCATCCCCCAAATCCCTGCAGGGACCCCCAGGAGCCCATCATGGGAGAGGTGTGGGGACCCTCAAATCATCCCCAAAATCCCAAATCCCTGCAGGGACCCCTGGGACCCCATCATGAGAGAGGTGTGGGGATCCCCAAATCATCCCCAAAATCCCAAATCCCTGCAGAGACCCCATAATGAGAGAGGTGTGGGGACCCCCAAATCATCCCAAAAACCCCTGCAGGGATCCCCAAATCATCCCCAGAATCCCTGCTGGGATCCCCAAAATCCCAAATCCCCGAAGGGGACCCATCATGAGAGAGGTGTGGGGATCCCCAAATCATCCCCAAAATCCCAAATCCCTGCAGGGATCCCCAAATCATCCCAAACATCCCAAATCTGGGGTGTTCCTGCATTGGGATTGGGGTGGGGCAGCCCCCGCTCGATCCCGGGGTTTGGATCCCAAAAATGGGAGATTTTTGTGCCAATCTGGGAGATTTTGGGGCTGATCCTCACAGGGTGTGTTGTCCTTTGAGCTCACAGGAGATTTTTGGGGGCAATCCTGACATTTTTTGTGGTTTTTTGGGGCCAATCCTGACGATTTGTGATAATTTCTGGGGCTCCAGGAGATTTTTGGGCCGATCCTGATGGTGTGGGGGGGATTTTTGGGGGCTGATCTTGGTGATTTGTGATATTTTCTGGGGCTCCAGGAGATTTTTGGGCCGATCCTGACAGTTTGTGTGTGATTTTTGGGGCCGATCCTGACGATTTGTGATATTTTCTGGAGCTCCAGGAGATTTTTGGGCCGATCCTGATGGTTTACATGGGGTTTTTGGGGCCGATCCTGACGATTTGTGATGTTTTCTGGGGCTCCAGGAGATTTTTGGGCCGATCCTGACGGTTTGTGTGTGATTTTTGGGGCCGATCCTGACGATTTGTGGTGTTTTCTGGGGCTCCAGGAGATTTTTGGGCCGATCCTGACAGTTTGTGTGTGATTTTTGGGGCCGATCCTGACGATTTGTGATATTTTCTGGGGCTCCAGGAGATTTTTGGGCCGATCCTGACGGTTTGTGTGTGATTTTTGGGGCCGATCCTGACGATTTGTGATATTTTCTGGAGCTCCAGGAGATTTTTGGGCCGATCCTGATGGTTTACATGGGGTTTTTGGGGCCGATCCTGACGATTTGTGATGTTTTCTGGGGCTCCAGGAGATTTTTGGGCCGATCCTGACAGTTTGTGTGTGATTTTTGGGGCCGATCCTGACGATTTGTGGTGTTTTCTGGGGCTCCAGGAGATTTTTGGGCCGATCCTGACGGTTTTCGTGTACCCCGAGGATCGCTACAAGGAGGTGCTGGAGCTCATCGACACCACCACCCCCTACGGCCTCACGGGGGCGATCTTCGCCCAGGAGAAGTGAGTCCCAAATTCCCTAAAATTCCCCCTAAAAAGCAGCCGGGGATGGAAAAAAAAAGATTTTCCCATCTGGGGCGAGCCACAAATCTTCTCTCCAGAGGAGGAAAAAAGCATTTCCCACCGAGCTTGTGCTGCTGCTCCTGCCAGGAGGGAAAGGAATGGTTTGAAGGTGGTTTCTTAGCCCCTAAAAAAGTTGTTTTAAGTGAGGAATTAGCCCAGAGGAATGTTTGGAGCACGGCCCACTCCTGCAGGAGGAGGGCAAAGAGCTCTCAGAGAGAATCACCCAAAATGATCACCGAATTCTGGGGAGGTTTAGAGAAAGAAAATGAAAAAAAGAACCCCAGAGCAGGGAAAATGCAGGAGGTGTGTGTGTGTGAAACCCCTGAGGCTGGAGCTGAGCATGAGGGGACACAAACCCCCCTGGAGGGGACACAAACCCCTCTGGAGGGGACACAAACCCCTCTGGAGGGGACACAAACCCCTCTGGAGTGACACAAACCCCTCTCAAAGGGACACAAACCCCCCTGGAGGAGACACAAACTCCCCTGGAGGGACACAAACCCCCCTGGAGGGGACACAAACCCATCTGGAGGGACCCAAACCCCTCTCAAAGTGACACAAACCCCCTTGGAGGGGACACAAACCCCCTTGGAGGGGACACAAACCCATCTGGAGGGACCCAAACCCCTCTCAAAGTGACACAAACCCCTCTGGAGGGGACACAAACCCCTTTTTGGCCCGTTTTGGTGGCCCTGCAGCAGCCACAGGCGCTGTGCTCAGGGCTGTCCCTGTCCTTGCCCAGGGAGGTCATCGAGGAGTCGCGGAGGCTGCTGCGCAACGCCGCCGGCAACTTCTACATCAACGACAAATCCACGGGGGCCGTGGTGGCCCAGCAGCCCTTCGGGGGCTCCCGGATCTCAGGTGACACCAGGGCTCCCCCCTTGCTCCCCTCCGTGTCCCTGCTGTCCCCTGGGGCCCTCCATGGCCTTTCTGTCCCTCCCTTGTCCCTGCGTGTCCCTCCTGTCCTTCCACGTCCCTCCTCTCCCTCCCATCCCTTGTGTCCCTCTTGTCCTCTGTGTCCTTCCCATCCCTCCTGTCCCTCCTGTCCTTGCCCTTCCACATCCCTCCTGTGCTCCACGTCCCTTGTCCTGTGTCCCTCCCATCCCTCTGTGTCCCTCAGTGTCCTCCCCATCCCTCCTGTCCTCGTCCTTCCATGTGTCCCTCCTGTCCCTCTCTGTCCCTCTTGTGCTTGGTGTCCTTTCATGTCCCCATCCTCTGTGTCCCTCAGTGTCCCTCCCATCCCTCCATGTCCCTCCTGTCCCATGTCCCTCCTGTGCTCCGTGTCCCTCCATGTCCCTCCTGTCCTTGTCCTTCCATGTCCCTCCTGTGCTCCATGTTCCCACCTTCTGTGTCCTCTGTGTCCCTCCCATCCTTCAATGTCCCTCCTTGTCCTCCTTGTCCTTCTGTGTCCCTCTCATCCCTCCATGTCCCTCCTGTCCCGTGTCCCTCCATGTCCCCATCCTCCGTGTCCCTCCCATCCCTGCATGTCCCTCCCACCCCACCCCGTGTCTCTGGCTGTCCCTGCCACCCTGGGTGCTGTCCCTGCCACCCTGGGTGCTGTCCCCAGCCCTTTCTGCCGTCCCCTCACAGGCACCAATGACAAGCCCGGGGGTCCCCACTACATCCTGCGCTGGACGTCCCCTCAGGCCGTCAAGGAGACGCACGTGCCGCTGCGGGACTGGCGCTACGCCTACATGCAGTGACCCTGGGGACAGCTGCCTGTCACCCCCAGGCAGCCCTGCAGCCACTCAGCTCCCACCTGCCCTGCTTAGCAGTTATTTAAAAATTATAATTATAATGATAATAATAATGTGTTGTTAAATTGTAAAGCTCGGAGGGTCCTGGTGGTGGCCTCGGTCAGGTGGCGCTTGGGGACACCATGGTGGATGTGGCAGTGGTTGGGCTGGATGACCTTAAAGGTCTTTTCCAACTTCAGTGATGGGGCGTGAGCATGCTTAATTAGGTCAGTTGTTAATTAAGGGGTGGCTGCAGAGGCACAGCGGGACCCCAGCTCCCTTTTCCTCCCGGTTCTCCCATGCCCAGAGAGGTTCCCTCGGGGCTGAGCAGGAATCAGGGCAGGGGAGGAGCTCAGGAGGTGCTGTCCCTGTCCCTGTGTCCCCAGCACCCCAATCCCGGGATGTGCAGGGGTGTCCTGGGCTGGGCAGCAGCAGGAATCTGGCACCAGGAGAGGGCAGCTGTGCTGCTGCTCCTTGGAACGGAGCTCCAGTGCCTCATCCCAGCCTCATCCCAGCCTCATCCCAGCCTGATCCCAGCCTCATCCCAGCCTCATCCCAGCCTCATCCCAGCCTCATCCCAGCCTCATCCCAGCCTGATTTCAGCCTCACCCCATCCCTCACCCCATCCCCCACCCCATCCCAGCCTCATCCCAGCCTCACCCCAGCCCCATCCCAGCCCCATCCCAGCCCCATCCCAGCCCCATCCCAGCCCCATCCCAGCCCCATCCCAGCCCCATCCCAGCCCCATCCCAGCCCCATCCCAGCCCCATCCCAGCCCCATCCCAGCCCCATCCCAGCCCCATCCCAGCCCCATCCCAGCCCCATCCCAGCCTCATTCCAGCCTCATCCCAGCCTGAGCCCAGCCTGATCCCAGCCTCATCCCATCCTCATCCCATCCCTCATCCTCATCCCATCCCTCTGAGCCTCCCGTCTGGGCTCAGGGTGGGCCAGAGCAGCTCCATCCCTCCCTGGTTCCGCTCCTGGGGACCAGGCCAGGCTGGCTCTGCTGTTCCCATCGCTCCTGGGCTGCTGTCCCTGCTCCGATCCCGCTGTGGGATGGGAGGGGAGCAGGGAATGTCCTGCTGGAGCTGGGGGTGAACCTTCCCTCCCCACCCCTGCCAGGAGCAGGAGCTCCACAACCCCCTCCCTCCCTCCTTCCATCCCATCCGAGGAGCTGCTGTCCCACCCAGCCCCAGCCCAGTTCAGGCCTTAAACCAGGCCTTAAACCAGGTGTTAAACCAGGCCTTAAACCAGGAGTGAAACCTGGAGTGAAAGCAGGAGTTAAATCAGGCCTTAAACCAGGAGTGAAACCTGGAGTTAAACCAGGAGTGAAAGCAGGAGCTAAATCAGGCCTTAAGCCTGGACTTAAACCAGGAGTTAAATCAGGCCTTAAACCTGGAGTTAAAGCAGGCCTTAAGCCAGGAATTAAAGCAGGCCTTAAACCAGGAGTTAAATCAGCCTTAAACCTGGAGTTAAAGCAGGCCTTAAGCCAGGAGTTAAAGCAGGCCTTAAACGTGGAATTAAAGCAGGCCTTAAACCAGGAGCTAAATTAGGCCTTAAACCAGGAGTTAAACCAGGAGCTACATCAGGCCTTAAACCAGGAGTTAAGCAGGGCTTCAGTCAGGCCTAGCCCTGGGCTCTGGCTCAGCCAGGCTCAGGACCTGCAGTGTGAACAGGGACAGGGATCTGCAGCACCAGGCCAGTTCTAACTCACAAAGGTGTTTGTTTCTAACCCCTGGGATTAATTAGTGCTCAATTAACAGCGTTTGCTGGTGGCTGGAGCCCGGCAGGGCCGCTGGGACCAGCGCTGGGTGTTGGGGTCAGGGCAGGGAGGAGTGCTTTGCAATTCCTGTGGATATAAAAATGTGCAATAAATTAATTTTCAAGCCTCTTTGCATTGCTTTTTTATGAATTATTTCCCCAGGTTGCTGTCGGATAAAGAGCGAGAGGGAGTCGGCGTCGGGGATCTTTAAATAAAATCATCCCAGCTTTAAATTTTAAATTTAAATTTCTTTAAATTTTCTGTTAAAAATGATGGGGAGAGAGAGGCAGGAAAAATGAGGGGCCTCGTTCAGAACCCCAGGATGGGTTTGGTGGGAAGGGACCTTAAATCTTAAATCCAGGGACACTTTCCACAATCCCAGGCTGCTCCCAGCCCTGTCCAGCCTGGCCTTGGGCACTTCCAGGGATCCAGGGGCAGCTCCAGCTGCTCTGGGCACCTGTACCGGGGTCTGCCCACCCTCCCAGCCAGGAATTCCTTCCCCAAATCCCGTCTGACCCTGCCTCCTTTCAGCTTAAACCATTCCCTCATCGGGTAAAAGCAGACAGGGACTGGGGGGGCAGAGGGAGCCGAGCTCTGCCCCAAACCAGCCCCAAAACCATCCCAAACCCACCCCAAACCCCAGCAGGGAGGAGAGAACCCCAAACCCATCCCAAACCCCAGCAGGGAGGAGAGAGAGCTCCAAACCCATCCCAAACCCTGGCAGAGAGGAGAGAGAGCTCCAAACCCACCCCAAACCCCAGCAGGGAGGAGAGAGAACCCCAAACCCACCCCAAACCCCAGCAGGGAGGAGAGAACCCCAAACCCATCCCAAACCCCAGCAGGGAGGAGAGAGAGCTCCAAACCCATCCCAAACCCTGGCAGAGAGGAGAGAGAGCTCCAAACCCACCCCAAACCCTGGCAGAGAGGAGAGAGAGCTCTAAACCCATCCCAAACCCACCCCAAACCCGGGCAGGGAGGAGAGAAAACCCCAAACCCACCCCAAACCCCAGCAGGGAGGAGGGAGAACCCCAAACCCACCCCAAACCTGCACAGGGAGGAGAGAGAACCCCAAACCCATCTCAAACCCACCCCAAACCCATCCCAAACCCCGGCAGGAAGGGGAGAGAGCCCCAAACCCACCCCAAATCCACCCCAAACCCCAGCAGAGAGGAGAGAGCCCCTCCCTGACTGCCGGGATTGTCCCCAAACCACGGCCCGGGTGTGACCGCAGCTCTGTCCCCTCCAGCCCGGTCACCCGGTTTGGGATCAGCCCCTCCAAAGCTTCCCCCAAACGCCGTCCCCGACCCTCCCCAGGCTCTTCAGCCTCTCCGGGGGCTCAGCCCCGGCCCCGGCCCGGCCCCTGCCTCGGGCTCGCTCCTTTCACGCCTCGAGGCCGCAGCGTCAAGTGGATTTTTGAGCCTTAACTCTGAATTTCATGGCTTTTGTGGCTCCAAATCAGGCCCCTAATGCCATTTAAACGTCGGCTTTTGGGAGCTGATAAACGCCTGGCGTGGGGAGAGGTCCCGGCACGGGGAAAAGGGGCCTGGGGAGGGCTCGGGGGGCTCTGAGTGACCCCAAAAATGAGCAGCAACAGGTCTGGAGTGCCCCGGTAGCGCTCCCATCCCATTCCCCGGCTCTGAGCGCATCCCGGAGCCGGAGGCTGAGCCAGGCTCCGGCTGGGAAGGCGGAATTTTCCCTGGATAACGCCCGGCTCCATCTGCTCCCCGTCAGGGATAGCCCGGCGATCCAAGCTCGCCTCGGGAGAGAGCCAGGGCTGAATTCCCAGCGTTTCCCACAAGCACGGGCTGGATTTTCCCTGGATTTGCTGCCGCGGGGTTCTCGGGAGAGCTCCCGGCTTTTCCAAGCTGGAAAATCTCCCGGCACAGGTGTGGGATGCAGGGCTGCGGGATAAAGGGAATATTCCACAGCTGGGAGCGGGACACGGGGTGAGAGCACCCCCAAAATCATCCCCTCCTTCCCTTCCCAGCCCTGGGCTGCCCCTCCAGGCAGGGATTTTTGGGAACAGCCCGTGCCTTCCCGGTTTTCCATCATAAAAGGATGATGAGGAGAAAAGAGCCACGGGAGGAGCGAGGGTGAGGACAGGAGAGGGAAAAACGCAGAGCCGGGAACCCTGAGGGGGAAAACCCGGGAGTTTTCCAGGGAAAAGGAGCCTCCCCGGCCCGGTTTTCCTCTCTTTTTTTTCTGCCTTATTTTATTTCTTCCTCCCGCCGTTTCTTCCCGGGGCTGCTCGGTGGATTTGGGAGAGCGGAGAATCCCCGGGGGCTGCGGGCAGGAGGAGTTTGCAGTTCAGGGAGTCAGCGGCAGATGGAGATCTTTATCCCGCTCTCCTCGGGAAAAAAAACCGGGAATTTTCTCTATTGAGGGGTTGGGGGGCACCAGGGCTGGCAGGAGGAGGTTCCGTGGGGCCGGGGTGGGTTCAAACCGCGGGGGAAGAAAGGGAAGAGCCTCGGGGTTCAGCTCTGGAGCCGGATTTTCCCACAGGGAGAGATGGAGGAAGCGAGGAGAGAAAGGGGAGAGGGTTTGAGGCGTCCACAAACAACCCTGGGGTTTAAGAGCAAGTGCCCGCACTCCCCTCCCCTCCCAAAAACGCTGCGAAATTACGGAGAGGTTTCTAATATTTAACATTTTTTGTTAAAGCCCCAGGTCCTGGAGTCATGAGAATGCAGCAGGATGTCAGCTTCCAGCTAAAACAAATAAAGAGCGGATTCACATCCCTCGGGCTGACACTGCGGAGAGGGAAGGAGAAGTGACCCCACTTCAGGGCAGGGAAAAAAAATCCTGGAAAAAATAAAGGGGACGGGAGCAGAGAGCCCCTCGAGCACCCCCAGACTCATTTACCCAACCAAACCTCGGCGGGGAGCGCCCTCCTTCCCACCTGGAATCGCTTCCCGGCGCTCCCAGCCGGGGATGCTGAGGCTCGGGAAGGGCTGGGGAGCGGAGCCAGCGGCTCCCGCTGTCCCCGGGGAGGGTTTGGCTGCGATTCCTCCGGAGCCAGCCCGGCCCAGAGGGGAACAGGTGAAGGCGGGGAAGCCCCGGGGTATAAATCACTCCCTGCTGGCTCGGCAGGCGGAGCAGGAGCTGGAGCGGGGTGGTTTTGGGATTAGGAGGGAATTCCTGCCCCTGCCCGGCGGCTCCTTCCAGCTGCGGCCCCGGGATGGGAGAGCCTGGGGCTGGATGGGGGCACGGAACCGCTCGGGGCAGCCCCGATCCATGGGATGGGACCTTGGAGGTTCGGAGCTGATGGACTCCATGCAGAGCCATCCAAAGGGTCCTGGACCATCCAAAAACTGGATCCTGGTCCGTCCAAAATCTGGATCCTGGTCCATCCAAAGGGGTGGATCCTGCTCCATCCAAAAACTGGATCCCAGCCCACCCAAAAGCTTGATCCTTGCCCCTCCTTGACCCTTGCTCTATCCAAAAACTGGATCCTGCTCCATCCAGAGGGGTGGATCCTGGGCCAGGGTGGGCAGGGGGAGCTCCAGCCCTTTGTCCCCAGGGGCAAAAAAATCCTCCTCATCCTCCTCACCCTCCTCATCCTCCTCATCATCCTCATCCTCCCCGTCCTCCCAGAGCTCCGGGCCTGGAGCACAACCCTCAATCCCCTCGGATTCTTTTCCCTGGAAGCCCTTTGATCCCAGCGAGGCCTCTCTGCCCCCACAGTCCCTCTCCTGGGGTTTGTTCCCCCCAATCCTCTCCTGTCCCTACAGCCCAACCCCCCCTCTCAGCCCCAGCCAGAGACCCCCCCCCTCCCCTCCCTCCGCATCCCCCAGCCCCTCCCGGGCTGTTTAAGATGTATCAGCGCTCCCATCTCAGCTGCTGTTTTCCATCCCTCAGCGATAAGGGATCTGCGTGTACACAGCGCCCAGGGAACGCTCCGCTCCTTCCCGTGGATGTTCCCCCCTCCCGGGGCCGATTATCCGCATCATCCCAGCGGCAGCCCCGCTCTGCCCTTGGGGTTTTTTTTATTTTATTTTATTTTTTGTGGTGGATTTTTTTCCCCCCTCTTCGGTTCTTTGCCCCCGGCCCGAGCGGTGCTGGCAGATCTGAGATGACAAACCTGACATTTCGGCGGCTGTGCCGCAGAGCCGGCCGGGCGGAGCTGCCGGGGACAATCGATTCTCCCCGCTCCGGCTCCCGGTGCCGTCCGAAACATTCAATCCACGTGAGATCATTCCCGCAGCTCCCCCGGAGCTTTGTACCCCCGGCTCGGGGGAAATGTGGATCCCCAAAAACCGGGAATGCCGCTGGAGACGGGCAGGAGCACCGGGAAAAGGGGAAGGGGAAGGTGAAAGGGGGA